CCATTCACCCAGATTATTTTTATGAGGCGTACTTCAAGCAAAATTTCAACTCTTGCAAACGAAGGAATTTACCAAAGGGTCAATTATTCCGCTTTGCGGAACTTAAAAAGCTAAGCACTGTAGGTAAGCCTTGTAAAAACAAATAAGATAAGCCTAAACGGACATGTTGACAGCTTCCTAATTAACACTCAATTTCGTAGATGGATGTGTCGTAACCTAAGTAAAATAATTATGAGAAAATGCAAGCAGCTCCTCTCCTGACATAGACATGTTATTGAACATCATCATTCTGAAATTGGGTGAAAAGAAAAAAATTTCGAGCCAATTCAGTTTTGGGTACAAATTCAGATGATTCCCACCGGTGAGTAACATCTGGGAACGCTTTTTCCAGCCTCAAATAGAACCGTTAGTTGCCTGCGGCTATCTAAAATAAAACGAGATAAAAATTCCCCCAAAAATTAATGTTTACATACACGAAAAAGCACTTAGGAAGCACTTAAAAAAAAAAAACATGATGAACTTTTATCTGCCATTCACCCAGAATAGTTTTACGAGGAGTACTACAAGCAAAATTTCAAATCTCACAAATGAAGGAATTTACCGAGGTGGCAATTATTCCACTTTGCAGTACTTGAAGGCTCAGCAACGTAGGAAAGCCTTGTAAAAACAATTAATATAGGCCTAAAAGGACAAGTTAACAGTTTCTTAATTAACATTCAATTTCGTTGGTGGATGTCTCCGTAACCTAAGTGAGGTATTTATGAGAAAATGCAAGTAGTTCCTCTCCTGACATGAACATGTTATTGAACATCATCATACTGAAATAGGGTGAGAAGAAAAACTTTACGAGCCGATTTTGGGTACAAATTCAGGTAATTCCCGCCAGTGAGTAACACCGGATACTTATTTTCCAACTTTAAACAGAACCGTTTGTTACCTGCGGCTATTTAAACTAAACCGAGTCAAAAATTCCCTTAGGAAATACTGTTTACGTAAACGAAAAAGCAATTACCGAGTCACCTGTTGCAAAAAAAACTTATCATTATCTTATTGTCATGTAATGTTATTTACCACCATCAAAACAGAACATCTTTATTATAGCAAGTGAAGCCTCTTCGTTTCTTACCTTTTTAGATTAATATCTAAGGGAATCTAATTTTTAGGGCGTCATAAACTTTTATTAACTTGGACATATTTTTTTTTTCACCACGTACTCTAAACATCACATCTGCCTCACTTAAGCCTAAAAGAACATGTTAACAATTTTATAATTCAATTCTGTAGATGGATGTCTCGTAACTAAGTAATATTTTTAGGAGAAAATGCAAGCAGTTCCTCTCCTGACATAAACATGTTATTGAACATCATCATTCCGAAATAGGGTGAAAAGAAAAACTTTTCAAGCCAATTTTGGGTACAAATTCAGGTGATTCCCGCAGGTGTGTAACATCTGTATGCGCATTTTCCAACTTTAAACAAAACCGTTGGTTACCTGCTGCTATTTAGACTAAACCGAGTCAAACATTTCCTCAACAAATAATTCTTACATACGCGTAAAGCACTCAGCAAGTCAACGGTTGCAAAAACAAAAAAAAACAAAAAAAAAGAATTTACATTATCCTGTTTTCATGTTATAGTGATACCATCAACGAAACAAAACATCTTTATTATAACAAGTTAAGCCTCCACTATATTTATATTTTTGGATTTAATCTCTTACGGAATCTAGTTTTTTGACATATTTTTTTTCACCACGTAAATTCAGAAGCGGTTTTCAACACAACGTATGACTTCTTTGGTCTAAACATCACATCTGCCTCGATTGCAATCAAGAGGCAATTTTTTAGCATCCTTAAAAGACTAAAGATGCTGTAAAGGAGTTCAAAGTATAAAGAAAAACTGATTTCCTTTAGAATAAACGAGAAATACTTCGCAAAATTTGGCCTCCAAATGTCTTAGTTTAATACCTGAGCACCATTCCACACAATTAATCTGTGATTAATTCGCTAGAATAGCTCTTGGTCATTTTTCTGTAAACCAGCTTCATTCGCCTTAAAGGATCAGAGGCAAAGTCGAATAGCCTACAATTTAATC